AAAAAAAACATTGAATATATTTTGGGTACATAAAAAACGAGAACTTACCTGTTGTAATTAAACCAAAAACAAGCCACAGTATACAAGTCAGTACATAACCGTCGATGAAGACCTTCACGGCTGTGTATATCACCGATACAAGCAAACCGATTGCGATCATAATGCCCAAAACGACCCATGGCATCATTAAATAGTGATTGCGCTGCAAATCGACAAATTGATACGAGAAATAATTAAAACAAAAAGTTTTTGTAAAAATACTCGATTACAAAATACATTCTACATTTGCTCTTCGCGCTCACCTTTATCACTCCAATGATCATGAGCAGCGATATAAGTATGGTCATACAAAGATTTATTATTAATATTATTTTAACAATATTCTTTGGTAGCCAATCGAAATCAATTGTATTGAAATCTATGCGCAATGTCAAACTAATGATTATCGTTATAATTGATAAGGTAATTGCTAGGAGGCCAGAAATGATGGAGCCATTGCGTAGCGATTGACAGAAGCAGCAGGTTTTCAACAATGGATTCGCCATATTTGGGAAAACTGTAATTAGAAGATAAGAAATTGGTTTTATAAATTTTATTAATAATTTATTCGTATTAAGATGAAAACCTATATACAGTCAGTCAATAAAGTTTAGGTACAGCGAATTTTTTTTATAATACCATTATCTATTATTTATTATCTATTTTTTAAATATTTTATTTTTCGGTTATTTTTTTTTTTTTATAAAAATATGGTCAATTTACAACAAAAACCGATTTCCAAGCCTTGTGCAAAATTAAAGAAAATTCTGCAAAATTTCATTCAAATATTTTATTTTATTTTATTTTTATTTACGCTCTCTAGAAAAAAGTTGAGTATGCAGTTTTTAGCCCATTCAATTTTAGTATAATAAAGTGCAGGTATGAGGAAGCTTGGACTTACCATCGATTTTTGGGGAATTTTTATGATATTGATTAATTTAATTTGACTGCATCACCAACTAAATTTTTACTAAATTATCGAAAAAGTTGTGGTCATTATCTCGGAAACTAAAGGAGATATCTAAAAACTGATAACACCAATCGAAATATATAACTGCATCTAGAACTAAGAATCGTCAAAATGGCGCTTACGACAATCTTTTACCCAGGCGACGATATGCTTTATAAGGTGTGTAAATACTTGAGTGAAATTTCTTAGAGTGAAATGAAGAAATACTCGGTTATTTTTACCTGATTTTCGGGGTTTGCGAAACCTTTTAAGATTTTCTCCCGATTTTTTATAATTTTTCGAGATTTATCGTGTTTTACTGTTTGGAATTTTTTTCAAGAACTTTGCGGATTTTCTCGCGACTTTTATTAAATTTTTGAGGATCCGTTGAATTTTCCAAATATCTACAGGGTCACAAACTCAGTATACATATTCAACGGATGATTTCTTTAGTAAAATACATGTTTACTTTCAACTCAATATCCACTGTTTGAGAACGCCTGGTTTAGACACACTGCAGACGTTATCGCCTGCTGATTTAGTCGAGCTCGCTTGTATAACATGGAGATTAAATAGTTGGAAATGCAGCCCGATTGCGTTCAAGCTAGAAAGTCTGTACTGTGCGGGGGCTCTAAGAGAAACAAATCGGGCTGATTATAATCACTATCTACCACAATTAGCTACGTACGACCTCAAAGTCGCGAAGTATTGAATCCAGCACTTTTTTTGGAAAAAAGCCAAAAAAAAACGATTGCAGAAAGAGAACAATGAAGATAAATTTCACTGCCAAACAGATCAACTTGGTACAATAACATGAGCGGGATGTAATGAGAATTTTTTTTTATATCCACTTTTCATTTTAACTTTTGAAGTGACTCACAAAACACTTTTAATTTTTTTTTCTAATTCAAGGAAAACGATGTTCAACAAATGATCGTGGAGTAGATATTTGACGAAGATAAAAGCAAATTTAAATAAATAAATGTACAAAATTTATCATATATGTAGATATATATGAATATACATACATACATACCGACAAACAGTGAGCGTCAAAAATAAGTGTACACAGACGTTGATTTTTGAGAATTTTTTCGCTCAGGGTGTTGTGTACCTTCATTCATGTAAAAAAGATTTTGTTCATTCGTTATATGGAAGAAAATGCACAACGCCCTCGGTAAAAAATTCTCAAAAATCAACGGCAGTTTGAAGTGAGTTCAAACTCGCACTTTATTGTACTAAAAGTGAATGGGCTACAAAACAGTTAACTCAACTTTTTTTAAAGAAATCGATTTGAGAAGTTGAAAATTTCAATGCAAATTTCATGCATTTTCCCCAAGGTCTGTATGAAAAAAAAAATGATTATTGTGGTTTTTGCTGTTGAATGAACTATATTTTTATAAAAGAAATAAGAAAATTTTAGTACATTTGACGTTCACTGTATATACAAACGACAGTGTAAGTATGTGTTATGTACATATTTAATTATGCAGTGTACCAATAAAATGAAAAAAAAAAATTAAAAATTTTCTGTTTACATTTTTACGCGGTGCATGTCATATTCGAAAAATAAGAGCATTTTATTTGCACGAATTCTGCCAACATATTTGCATATATGTATGTATGTATGTATGTATGTTTATATGCAGTTATTAAAAATATCACCCAATTTACTTCATCCGTTCGTTGTCAAAAATAATAAACAACAGTTTAGCGGCAATACACCCCGCTTTACTTGCAGATCCTTCACCAATTGGTTGGCTGGTTGGCGTCATTCAAATTGGTGATTGCAACGTTCAAAATTCGATTAAGTCAACATTAAATTCACGCTTCCAATTACTGTCAATCGCCAGCAGCTAACGGGCGCACCAAGCCGCGTGAACGTTTTTTTTTTTCATTTGGATCTTACGTGTGGTGATCACTCATCAAAATGCAGGAAAAAGTGGATTTTAATCGTGCAACATGCCACCGTCAGTATGCAAATGTATAGCGCCCAGAGGCATAAAACTTGAATGCACATATGCATTGCATATACTATATACATATATATGTATGTACATATGTATGCAAGCAATGTGTGATGCATTCAACTGTTGATTGGCGGCTAGTCGGGTAGTATTTAATTCACTTTGAATGTCAAGCGCCTCACCAAGCGAGCCGACTTAACTGATTGTGTGTGTAATAAAAATGAGCTAATCGCCTAGTTAAGTGCATATGTTTGCAAGTTTGTTTTGATTATAAAAATTAAATTGATGTACACATGAAAAGCAAATACCGAAAGCTACAAGGCACAAGGCAATCGGCCTTCCAGATAGTCCGCACACAGGTTCACAACATTGGAGGCGAGCAAACTCTACATGAAAATTAAATATTGAAAAAGATATACCTGATACTGACTGTTTTTCTCACCATCACCTTTAATTTGTAGTGCGCGTCTTGATATTGAAGATAAGACCGAGCCTCCAGTCGAATGGCGACGGACGACTTGACTATATCGAGGTGCGACTAGTAATTTCGCTGTTGAAAATCAACAAAGTTACTGGCCAGCTAGCTGTGCTATTCAAGTCGGCTGCGGGAGTTGAAAAGTTGCAACTATGCAGGAAAAGGTCAACCGAAAACATGCCCAACGGCTATAAGGCTATAAGCTTCAGCTATTGAACTTCCTGCATAAAAATTGAGCTTAAGCTCCGACTCGATTTTCGGCATAAGTTCGTGAGCTTGAGCTCACTTCAGCATGTAAATACTGAGTCTGAGTCTAAGCTCATTTTTTAAGCATGAGGCCCATTGTGCGAAGCTCACCGCCAATAAACTGATTGGTTCCTATGCCTCATCGGACTCGAAGAAATGCGCGAGCTATTTGAGTCGGCATTTTACACTGTATCTTTCGGTGGATAAGGCTAAACGTCGAGTGATCAAAAGGCTCCGAGGGGTAACCTTTGATTGCCTGCTCTCCATCACGGCGCACACAACTGCAACTGTCCATGAATTCACTTGCCGGCAACACCTGGGGCAAATACAGAGACTACAAAGGCAACATATGTTCAAGGAAATTGGTTGTTCGGTTCAAATTATGCTGCACCTGTTTGGTCGCCGGTGACTAGTTGGACGCAATGGACGAAGCTACAGACTTGCCAAAACGACGCACTTCGTACAGCTACAGGATGCCTTCTGAAGTCGATTGAACACCATCTGCATAGCGAGACCCAAATGCTCTCCGTACGGGAGCAGAGCGAAATGCTCAGCAAGCAGTTTCATGCGCGAGCACCCGAACAGGCCCAGGTACGTCACAAAACATTTTTTTAAGTGTAAGGATGCGGTCCGGACCTATATAGAAAAAACACTGGACTCCGCAAGTCTCGAGATATTAATGCGCCCTGACTCCCTCAATGGCACCAAGCACCTCTTCACATGTCCACTCAGCTAACACCACTTTCCCTCGGGTCCAACCCAGTCGAAACGGTATGTATCCTGGGTCTGCCTTTAGCTGAGCTTTACGACAAGGATTGATGGATAAACAGACCTGGGATGGGGGTGAGGGGGGGCCTTAGTAATTTCAATAAAAGTGGCAGTTAGAGGGTTAAAGTAAATAGGTAACCAGTTTAATACTTGTGTATCTAAATATGTATATATGTAAATATCTACGATAAACTATTTGCGTTCCATTGGCGAACCTATTTTTGAAGCAAGATAATCTCTATTTCCCGCTACTTTTTACTGTTTTTTTTTTACGATTACGAGTAGGAAACAGCACACCTTACGCAGCAGGCAGCAAAAAAAAACCAAATAACCCAGCATTTTTGTTTGCTTTACATTTCGCAAGATTCCCATTGAAGTGCGGAAATCTCTAGTAAGCGTCTATGATGGCCACACCTCTCGAGAACACGAATGCTAAAAATCGCACTTTTTAAGGCAAGAAGATCAAAAACAAGCAAAAAAAAAAAGGAAAACAATCAGAAACTGAAGACGGCGGTTGATTGCCCGATACGCTCAGCAAACAAACAGTGCCATAAATTGCACACACTTTCATAAGTGGTTGTTTGTATGTATGCATCTGTGACTAAATATGTATTGTGTATTTACAAGTATTGAATAAGAAAATATGCGATTTTGATATCGATCGGATGCGCTCCACTAACAAAAAAAAAATGCGCAGATCCGCTTGTAATTTGCAAAATATGCACAGACGGTTCCCATTGAACTGCCTGCCATCTGGTCAATTGAGCTGAGCGCACAGGCGTCTGCCCAACGTAATCGAACAGATACAATTAAATATATGTAGTTGGAGCGAAAAAAAAACAACATCAATGTATTGCGACAGAATGGGGCCAACACAAACAAAAATTTAACCAGACCACCACCCGTGCTACCACCGATCTCTATAAGAACTGAGTGAGTTAATGAACTAATTGCCACCGACGCCAAGTAGGCAGCAGCTCAAGCGGCGAGTTGATCGCAAAAAAAAAAGCTTTTTATTTTTTTGGAGATACAAATCTATACAAAGCGAATATGTGTGCGGGTGTGTGTATGTGTGCAAAGCTTGTTAGCCGCAATGTGGTCGCTGTAGACTG